GCGCCAGCTGTGCGGCAACTAGGAAACTTTTATCAAAGCCCAGCCCCATATTTTATGGATATTATATCTCTTACGTTTTATTAAAAGAATAAACCAAAACTTGATCCTTCTACTCAGCCCTCTTCTAAGAGAAATAAACTGAGAAAAGGACGGGCGACACAATATTTCAATAATTATTTCTGTCTCTGCTATGCCAGGAACTTTGTCCTGCGATATTAAATTTTGTTGACCAACTAAGAGCACTACAAGCAGAGATCTCAACCTCCCTCTGTTTTGCTGTTGGTCTGCCATGTTTGGTGGGCAACGTAAGCACGTTTTAAATTTAATTTCGCTGTCATTCAAGCGAAGCCAAGTAGCCCATGGGAAACAAATACGAGTGGCAGCTAGCGCCGCTTGTCAGCAGAACCAACTAGCGACTAGACGCAAGTACGATACAAGTGAACAACAAATATGCGATTTGCCGCAGCAGTAATCATAGCAGCAACAGAAAAGGAGATGATACATTAGGGGATTCCAGGGAGAGACAGAGCCACTCTTGATACACTCAACGATCCCAATAAAGCGCATTAAATATGATAATTGATTTCAACAGCATTTACTGCGAGCCCTTGACATTAAGAGTTTACAGAGTTTTGGAGAGGAGAGGAAAAGGAGTGATGGCAGCAAATAAGCCGAACCCAATTAAATAACAATCATACGACACATTGAACCAGTTGTCACGGTAATGGATTCCAAGTTGAACTGCAACATTATGCAAATGTATTTAATCACAGTTTCCACATGAACGAAATTAACAATGCTTAATATAAATTATTAAAACATAAAAACAGGAACAAAGGAATGAAGAACAATCAGAAGCTTCCGATTTACTTACTAGAAATAAAAAATGCCAGAAACATATTAAACATTTAATAATACTTAGGACCTGTTATATATTTTATCAATGTCTTTTAATATGGAAAGATATGTACATATTTTCCTTTCTATACAGACATATTTTGGCAGCTAAGTTTCTTCCGCATCCCCAGAACACAGAGCTGTGTTGCAGCTTGGAAAACCACTTACAGAACAACAATCGTGGCAACACAATTTTTGGTAGACGAAACATTATTTTCACCCATTGTTTTGTCTTTGGAATTGTTCGCTAGGAACAACGGAGGTTCTGGGAAAGAGAGCGAATAATTTTGCAAAAATTTAACCATGCCACAGATGCTGTAAGACGTAGTACAAACAAAACTATTGTATGGCCGTACACATATGTGTAGCATGCCCACACACCTCTCAGACCCAAGCCATAAGCCCCATCCGCTGTACGAGTGATGGTTGCTGCATTTTCCCTGTTGTTCGCGAAACAAAAACATATCGAAAAAAGGGTCAGCCGCAGGTGAAAGCTCTTCTTTACGAGTATGCCTTCGTTTCTTTTTTTTTATTTATTTTTTTTTGCCTCACGCTGAGCTGCTTTCGAATGTAATGCAATCGATTAGCTCTTGGTGGTCGGGGGGGGGCGACGGCACAAAAAACATAAACCATAAAAGCAAACATCGGACGACCGACATCAAATATGCATTGAAATGGGAATTGCAAGGGACCCACCGATGCGATGCCTAGATAAATATTGACTCTCGCCACTTGACAATGCATATTTGAATAGGTATAAACTTACATACATACAGACCATATATGTATACTTGTATATAACAATTCAATTAATTATGAACAGCTTAAAAGGGATCCCGTCGTGTACGTGGCTTTTGTTCTAAATGGATTTTTTTTAATGCGTTTGTGGCTTTCCGGCAATTTCCTTGAAGCGCTCTCGGGGGGTTCGAATGCATCGAGTTGATGGTTTTAAAAAGTTGATATTCACACTGATGGGAAATCGTTGAAAAAATGAGGGCTCAATGGAGCTCCAGCTCTGGTTGTAATCCTCTTAAACAGGAACGTTCCGCAGATTTATTTTGACAGTCAATTACGAGCGGATTACCCAATAAGAAGATGAGCCAAAATTAAAATTAAAACCCCTTATGGGATAATAACTCATGATTTTATGTGCAGACCATTCCTCTCTCTCTCTCTCTCTCTCTCTGAAAAATTTTCAGGATTCACAACCGAAAGACAAGTTAGACAAAGAAAAAATTAATAAATTGATATGAGCAAGGCGAAATTATGTTGAAAAAGTTCTTATGTAACACACATGCTACACTCTGGGCGTCACGCCCCTCCTGTAAGAGGCAGGCTGCTGTAAGAGTAATGAGCTTTTTGTGTGCTAGGCGCAATTTTTAAATGCATTAAAAAGTGTTACACTCGAGTGCCGCACATTTATCACACACTCCAACAGCGAGCGGATAGAGGGGACAGACTAAAGTCGGGGGGTGTACCCTCTTCGGTAGAGCAGCATAATGGAAGAAATCGCATTTAAATTGTTTGGCTCACAAATAAATTGTTATAATTCATCACTCAACTTAACTTGGCGACGAAACGTCTCTGGGATAAATTGATTGACTTCAATTCAATTGAATTTTCACAGCATCGCATCCAAGAGTGGGAGTGACTAAGAAGGCGGGCATATACCGCCCATAAAAAATTATTATGCTTTTTTCGTATGAGTTATATAAATTGCGGCTCGGCAATACTTTGACAAAAGCATGACAGACGCTTTATTAGGTTTTGCTATTAATTTGCATGGATTTTTCATTGCGTATGCATGGCACAGCGATTCCTATGAAAGGCTCTGCTCTCCTACTCTACAGCCCAACAAAAAGTGCGGAAAATATAAAAAAATATATTGTATGTAGTACGTAGAGCGCGCAGTGACAGCGAAATCACAAAATTCCATTAATTTTAAGCAGTCAATCAAAATTGGCAACTCGAAGTCGATTATATTATGCTAATGAATATCAGAATGGCAGGGACTTGGACACTGAAGTTTTCCCAGACAGAGGGCACTGGCGCTGGCGCTGGTAGAGATCCTGAGAGTCAGATTCGGTAGCACAACATCCAGAGAGTCAGATCCAGAAGCCCACATCCTCAGAGTCTCTGAATCATAATCATCAGCAGAGTCAGAGTCTGGCACAGGCCAGACATAAGTCATCGACCAGCATCATCATTCATTATTATTTATTATTTGTATGGCATAAATGGCATATGTTCGAGTATGTACGAGTATGTGTGTGTTCTTAATGCGGGTTGATGAGTCAGACAGAGACTGAAAGGAAGTGCAACTTTAAGTGACTCTCGAATCTCATAGAACAACGACTTAACTTTGTGCAGTATTTGACATTTCATTAGTATACTTATACTTATGTGTACGTACTATAAATGTTTGAGGATTGATATTTATAAAGCTGTCATTTCAAGTGTAGATAAATTAAGTTATGCCCGAGTGGCCATTCATAGCTATTCACATGATTAACTCATCGCATTCTCGTTTATTCACATGGCATATACATAAGTATGTATGCAGATCCCATCTACGAATACTGTCCATCTCGAGTGCTTTGCAAACTCAATTAATTGTTGAATTCTGGCTTAAAGTGGGGGCAACACATATCGCTTGCCATCTTGCCAAAGCACAATAATATTTGTTTATGCAAATTGAATTTAATTACAACATAAACATGCGCCATGACTCCACTCATGACTCCAGCCATGAGTGGGGCCAGGGGCCAGCCCCTTCTGCCACTTGAAGTGCTCTGCGACCAAAAGAAAATGAGCAAAATGCGAAGCAGGTCTTGTCAGAATGTGTGATATTTTCAAATTTGCGTTTTCCTTGCGTTAATTTCGAAAAGCCGCAGAAAAGATGAATTGATGCCCAAGGCGAGGAAGATGAGATTTAGGCGCAGCCTGTAACCTCTGAATTCTCTCCCATCTCTCTCTCTCTCCCTCTCTCTCTCTCTCTCCCTTATCTTTCTCCACATCTTTCACTATTTCTGTAGCTATTAGTAATTTAATGGCAACATCATCAGCAGCCGCACACATTACACATCCTTCGGCATCGCCATTGAGTGGAATAGTTACCCACACACACTCGCACCCAAAACGAGAATAGTTGTCTGTGTGAGTGTGATTGTGAGTGCTTTTGGTTTGTTTGCGTCTGTGTGTATGCGTGCTTCATGCCACGTAACGTTTTAAAAACTCGTTTAGCCATGTTGTTGAACCCAAAACCAAGTGGAAAACTAGCTCAGAGAGACAGGAATAACTAGAAGAAAACGAAGAACCGAATACACAATGCCCTTACTCAACAAAACTAAACTTTAAAGAAACAATTTAACGTAAGAAAAACTAAATAAGCCCAACCCAAATCCATCCCTTACCAATCTTGTGTCAACTTAAGCTCAACAAAGTTAATCTACAAGGTTTTGCAATGTCTCTTGTCTTAGTTTCAGCCAACTATGCCCATACAATTTTGGGTTTCTCTAACTCTTAAACCGTCCTTTTAATACTCCCAACAAACTCCTTCCAAATGCCAACTTACCTTCCATTTGTGATGTACAAAAAATGGAAATTTGAAAAATGCCTCAAACGCTCTCTCACACTCAACCACTCACAGACGGATACACAGACAAGGCATACATACATAAAACATGTTTTGGCAACAGCAAAAAACAAATACAAATACAACAAGAAGGAACAACAACACAGAAAAAGGGAATTAGTAATAAAATGCTATGAAAAAGTGAGAGACGGTAACTGAATATCGAACACGTTTCTTTACTCTGTCGCTATGCCATATGCGGCTCTGCCTCTCTGAGAATGTGTGTGCGTGCGAGAGTGTATTCGGGCGTGTTTTTGTGTGTGAGTGTTTGCGTGGCAGCGCCTAGATTTCTGCAGAATTTCATTTACATTTATATACGAATAAAAATGTACATATACCAAATATCAATATATAGAGTAACTAGGCGCCCATGTTAAAGTGCTGCAATTGTAAATAAATTGCTGGGGCATGTTTCTGGTAACATTTATTTGATTCTTCGCTTACTGGTTCTTTTTTTTTTTCCTTTTAGCTATTGGGCGGTGACCAACATTGACTACATCCATTCGAGGACCAGCAACCGGGTCTTCATGATGATATTCTGTGTGTGGACGGCGTCGGTGATTGTCTCGCTGGCGCCGCAATTCGGCTGGAAAGATCCGGACTATCTGCAGCGCATCGAGCAGCAGAAGTGCATGGTCTCGCAGGATGTGTCCTATCAGGTAAGGAAATAAAGCAACCGACCACGCCCGCCATCGCACTACTATTTGGCTATGATTTATTTTCGCCATCCATTGCGCAGGTCTTTGCCACCTGTTGCACGTTCTATGTGCCGCTGCTGGTTATCCTGGCGCTCTATTGGAAAATCTATCAAACGGCCCGCAAACGCATTCATCGTCGGCGACCGCGGCCTGTCGCTACGGCTGTCAATAATAATCAGGTAAAGCTCAATTTGGATAATAGCATCTCTCATCGAAATTACTTCAATGGCTCATACAGGGTTCTATATATTTATTTTCTTTTCCACAATTTTAAGGATTAACTGTAGCTCAAATTTCAGTCTAAAAGCTTAAGCAGACGTGAAAAATAATACAAAATTGCTATAATTTAATAGCAAACTAGTTGCTATATCCAAACCATCCATGGACACACCCTGTATGCCTAAAATATTCTTATTCGATGCAAGGCAATGTCTGCTGAAGGGCTATGGCAACCCCCAATAGGCACGAGTTCGCTCATCTTGGGACGCTGACCACAGCCTGGCCATTGCAATTATGCACTTCAACGATGTTAACCGCTTTGCGGCCACAGCCACAGAATCGACCCAGAGATAAGGGTCAGTCAAAGGCCAAACCGCAGGCAACATGGCGCAGCAGCAGCAAAAGCAACAGCAGCAGGAGAACGAGAAGCAGAAGCTGCCACAGCCATAGCTATGCATAGCCACAATCCCTTCATTGCACATGACTTGAGGGAGAGGTGGCCAGTGCCAACGACGCTTTTCCGGTTAAATATGCATAACATACTCTCTTGGATTAGGGGGCCAATGGGAATTCGAATGGGAATTGGACTAGGAATGGGGGTAGTAATTAGGCAACATCATCCCAAGTGATTAAAGATGCATTGCAAAGGGACCTTGGAAAACGAATATATGCGCATATATTCGAACATACATGCATACATACATATGTATACACATAGAAAAAAGAAAGGAGAAATGGTATTAAGTTAAGTATGCGCCACGTGTACATTAAAGTCATCTTGAGAGTTTGCCCAAAAAGGGGAGAAAGTTGAGCGATAAGTGGCAGCCAAGGAAACTGACAGATTGTCTTGACATGAATGTGTGTGTGTGTGCGTGAGTGTTTTTTTGGCCAGAAGTTTCTGGCTTAATGCGGCAGCTGGTCAAACTAATGCTCGAACACAAACACACACACACACACACACCGAACAAAAACTCTAGATAAATTGCAATTTTGTTTTTGTCCAGCACACGAAAATTTCAACAGTTTTCAAGTTATTTGTGGGGAGGAAAAGTCATTTTTGGTGTAGGGAAAAATCTCCTCAACTTAAGCCGAAAGAAAATTAAGATTCAGGTTAGGGTATCTGGCAATTGGTTTCTATTATCTTAGGCTTCTTTCTATCTGCTCTTCTTTTTTTCCCAAGGATTTTTAGACATTTTCTTGTGGGGAGGCTGCTACTTAGCTTAAGCTTAGTGCTTACTAAATTGAAAATGACCATTTGACGTAGAAATGTTTGCCAGCACTTACCTATACACGTGCACATGCACGTATACCGTATATGTATATATGTATACCGTATTGTATCTGTTTGTGTGGCCAAAAGCTATGCAGGAGATAGTGAGTGGGGGAGAGAGATAGTGTGAGAGGGGCTGGCAAAAAGTCATTGGAATCACAAATTCAATGCGCAAACAAGACAAGTTGTCCACTATTTGCCAAACGTACACATGTCCAGCCGCATGTCCTGCCGCGTGTCTTGCCCCGTGTGCTGCCCCTAGTCCTGCTACGTTTTAGCTCCACATGCGTGCCTTAGTTACATGTCAACACACTTACCCGTCCAATCGTCCAACCTCCCATACGCCCATACGCATCCATTTAGTGCCACTCACTCTAGTCCCTTCTATCCTCCTATTCCCACGCCCTAGCATGCTTGCTGATTTTAAAATATATTTACCCAACACACACACACACACACACACACACACACGCACAAAGTCCGAACAGAGAGTAGGCGGATTTTACTTAGAGTGAGTTGACTATGTGATTAATTTTGAAAGATATTGCCACAAAGTTCTTGCGGTGAACGGAATAAACACAACCGAGATTCAATAGGAAGAGCATCTGTGGTTCGACCCTCCTGCTCTTCATAGTACACTCCTGTTAAACTCTCTTGTTATTCATTGGGTTACTTTTACTTCGTTCTCTGCTAACTAAATGCTTTCAAATTGAAAATTGCTTTCCTGCTACTTGACGAGGGTCCCTTACATGGCGGGACATCAGCAGCATCACACACAAAAGAAATATCCATTCGAGTCAAATACCCACCCGTCGGGCTTTTCAGCTTCTGTGGTGCAATGCCTAACTATATAACAATTTCGGTGAGACAGGACATGGATGTTGAGTTAATTACATTTGCTTTCGGTCTGTTTATTGGGCAAATTACTAAATAATTCGATGGTGCAAATGATTTAAACTGCAGTTGTGACATAATCGAATTCCCAAAACTATCAAAAGTAGCCAATCCTGAATAATTCAGCACCAATGTCATTCTCTCACTCTCTCTCCCTCTCTCTCTCTCTCTCTCCATTATCTCTTACTCTTTCTCGCTCTCTCTCAGTAATAGGTTTGTAATTTTAATTGAAATGCAGTTTTCTGAGCTGTCTGATCAGGATCAACAAAACACACACACTCTGACACACTTAGTGATTCATCAATTAACTTGTGGCAGGGGGCAGCAGGGGAGCAAATGGCAATTAAGGGAAATTCGATCAAACATGTATTATCTGTAATTCGCCTATTGGCACTATGTGAGAGCGAGCATCGAAGCAGTAAATGTTATTTATAATTTACAGAGGCAATTCACAACAGAAGCCAGCCCAAATGCCCAGGGACAATCCCTATACATATGTAGATATACAGGTTCCCAAAGCATGTCCGAGACACACACACTCTCGCCCACTAACTTGACCATCATCGTCGCCACCATCACAATTACATTTGCAACAACATCTCGAACTGATTGCTCCAGATATTGACATTATTTTCATAGCCAAACAAACATGTGACAAAGGCAGTCAAGGACCCGGCAGACACATGAGTGAAAAGCATATTTGGCCAACGCGCCATCTGCGACACCATATCGCCATATCGCCAGAGAGCAAAAATATTCATATAAAACAACGGAGAAAACTGCTCAACAAAAACGTTGGACATTTTCCAAGAATGGAAAGAAGGGGAAATCGGAGAAAACTTTCTTAAATAAAACACTTTATAAGCGTTTATAAATATATAAAATATGAAATAATAGAAACTTTCTTTCTATGATGGAAATTCAAAAAAAAGAAATTATATGAAGAAAATTTCTTTGCGCAAATTGAAAAGAAAACCATTTGAAAAGAAAGAAAGAAAGCATTTTAAATTCATAATTAGTTATACAAAGTTAAAGAGCACAATTCATTAAAATTAAATGTGTGAAAGAATTTCTATTTAAATTTGTTTAGAGTCAAAGAAATGTGTGTTGGTACTATTTCCAACACATACATTTTGGCTTGACGCCTTTCTTGCATTTGATTTCATTTTATTTATTGGAGATTTATTTTAATTTCCTTGCTGGCTTTCCTGCTGGCTGTCCTGCTGGTCCTTGGTCCTGCTCAAGTCATAAATTTTGCTGGCCAGTGTAGTTAATACCAGGGCATTCTTGTCACAGACAGGGCCGACATAAATCGCATGAAAGGCACATTATTGAATACAGGCGGCACACTCACATGTGGAATATTTTTATACGTATACGTATGTACACATGTATGTATGTATGTATGTATATATTTAGAAAGCTGAACACATGTCCCGGCAAGAAAAACAATTAAATAAGAAAACAATTTACATAAATTAGCCAAAGTGCCAAAAATGGCTAAGGACACAGACGGAAAGACAAAGAGGGACAGGAAGACAGAAGTGTATCGTTTAGGAAAACGCTTAAATACAAACAAACGGAATTAAAGAAGGCAGAAAGGCAGCCAGGAAGCCGTGAAAGAATCGAATGGAATAGAAAGCACATCTACATAAAATACCCATCATTGGGGCTTGTGAGGTTATCCTTATCGTTATCGTTATTGCCCGCCTGCTCAAAAGTATGCTACACAAATGTGGAGAGCGCTTATCGCTCTTATCTCCCAATACACGCACGTCTCCCCCATGTATGCGTGTATCTCTTATTTACTTTGGTATTTAAGTAACACGCAAGTGCCTGAGTACTTAAGTTTTGCTATCTTCCAGTGACAGCATTTCCCTTGAGAGAGTGCAAGAGAGGTTGGAGAAACATGCTCTCTACAGGATTTTCCTACGCTCATTTCATGGAAAAACAATAATGTTAACCAAATAAAAGAATCAATGACAGATGTCTTGATCTTGGATCTAACAAAATATTTAACTCGAATGATGAACCCTCTATTTGGTGAAAGAATCTCGCCTGACGCTTCCCTGTTATTTATTTATTTGAGATAGACTTCGGGGCCAGCCCGAAGGGCTGTCTTGTCTTCTCTTTCCGTGCGCCTAATTAAGCTTAAAATCTTTAATATTTAATAAGCTATCTGACCGCCCATAGACCATCCCTGGCTTGTCGGCCTCCGCAACCCACAAAACACTTGAGGAAAAGTTTGTGCCCTTGGCCGAGAAGCAATTTCACCCACAAAATAAAGGTCACATGAATAGAGGAGCTGTAAATCCATTTAATACTATTTGCGCAAATATTCACACCATTTCTCGGATGGAGCGTCACACACTCGAACCCTTTTTGGGGCTGCTTCTCAAACTTCCGCACACGAAAGCAAAATCAGCATAATTTTATTTATTTAAAGCAATATCGACTTTCGAAAGGGTCAACAGCCACGACGACGACGAAGACAAAGATGACGATGCTGTTGTCCATGCCGAGGCAAAAGGTTCGACTACTCAATTACTTTAATTTGGTGGGATTGAAGGCAACAAAGAAGCAGTGGAAGTATCTTTACCAGATAAGAAGAAGCAGAAGCTTTATTGTACTGTCTAAATTCGTAGACAGATTATGATTAAAGAGCGAACTCTAATTATGTGAGCTACGTATCCTTCAGTATTCATACACTTCATACAGTCCCAAAGCTTCCTGCTAGCTCCCTTCCTTGAGTTCTGAGTCGCAGTTCATTCTAAATACCCTGACAAAAATAAATAAGGGATACGCGGCTGTTGGCAAAAAGAAAAATCAAAGAGGTCAAGCGCTGGGAGCAGTCAAACGTGAAATTTATTTCGGACAGGGCGTGGCCGCCTGGGTGTGGTAGAGGATGCTTCTGGGTGACCGTAACAAATACACACAATTTATTTACGGGACCGAACCGACTTACATATGCATATGGCAGCATTGGCAGCGCGGTGGGGCGAAAAAGGGGCACCGGATCGGATGGGATCTTAAGGCTCAGACTGTGGCGTTTGATATGCGTACAAATTGCGGTTTATTGAAGCGTGAGGCCCAGAAAGCAGAAAAGAAAATGCAAATTTCGCTCGCCCCTAATAATGCTGTGCGAAGAAGTATGAATTTAATTTGAAGTCATGTACAGGTCAAAGGCAGCACAGCCACAGTAGAGTGCAAAAATCAATGCAGATTGAAACTATAGAAACAAGTTCTCAGCTTCTCTTCCCTCATCTTCACTCTCCAACTCATTCTATCTTTATCTTGCCTCTCTTACAGCCGGATGGAGGTGCGGCAACAGATACAAAACTTAATCGACTGCGTGTACGCCTTGGAAGATTCTCAACAGCCAAGACCAAGGGCGGAAACCAAGCCGGAGGAACTGGAGGAGAGGCGGCAGCAGCAGGAGGCGGCGGCGGTGGATCCACTGGCACGGCCCTGTGCCTGGTCGAAGGCAACTCAACAAATACGGTCAACACTGTGGAGGACACCGAGTTCAGTAGCTCGAATGTGGATAGCAAGAGTCGTGCTGGCGTCGAGGTATGTACGAGATGAGCAGCAGAATACGTACAGACACATTTTTGGGTTTAAAGCAAATTTCATAACGCCTGACATGTGCCCAACGATCTGAGCTGAGGCTTTGCTTCCTGTTTCCCAGAGTGCACGCACGCACACAAACAAACCGAGGCATACGCTCACGAACACGCACACGCACAGATGCAAACGCAGACACACAGATATAAGCTGACCAAAAATAAACCCACCAACACCAAGCGGACGGATGGGATGGATGGATGGATGGATGGGTGATGTGACGGGAGGCGACTCCCAATCCCAATCTCACTCTCACTTCATCTCCATCTCGAGCTCATTTCTCTCTTTATTATCCAACTATCATATGCCCTCTCTTTCGCCAACCTTCGGGGGATTCAAATGAGTTTTCCTCTTGGCTACCTTTTCGGGAAGTTTTTCTTTATATTTGCCTGGGGAACCCTTGGGGTTTTTTGCTTCTACTAATGTCTCATTAACCTATCTCACATCCCAGCAATATGCACTTGAGAATTCCGTGAGCAACATTTCCTGATAATGATCTCGGGGATGTGGTAGGCATTATACAAACTCATCCGCTTCAGGAGGTGTATTTCTTGCACCAGTGAATGGAAATGTCAATATTGGTATATTTCCCGTTCTTCTTAGTAATATTCTACCGTACAATATACAAGTGGACTCCACTGACGTTGGAATTCGGCTTCTATTCATCCAATCACATCCCTCAATCTGTCTTATAATAATTTCCATTATAACTAAAAAAAAAAAGTATACGTCAAATTCATTTAAAAATTAAGGGTATCTGGCTAATGTAACCGAAATGTTGATTGTAATTTAATGGGTGGGCATAGTCTTAAGTGCACGGATAAGATATACAGACCAGGGGCACAGTCCCGTCCACTTGAATCGCAAATCCAAGCAAATTACCCGCCACTCGACAGAAATGTCAGCGATAAAATGCAGGCAAAGCTTTCTGTTTATTGGTTGGATGGTTGGGGCAGGGTTCTGGGGGGGTTCTGGGTGGGGATTTCCTGATGCCAAATTTGTATTTAGCCGCATTTTATGTACTTCAATTTTGGGGCAGCGATTTTATGGCTAAAAAATAATCCAAAGGGGGCCACACATTCAATAATAACACACATTAAAGCGGAGACGGGAAAAAACCATAAAAGAGCAGAGCCAAAATAAATTGCTTGAACGTTTTGTTTGCATTGCCAGAAGGCAGGCAGTCAGGCAGGCAGGCAGGCAGGCAGGCTGCTCCGGCTGCTACACTGCCACACTGCCATTGCCTCTGCTAGAGACGAGGTGGCAGAGTAAAGTCGAGTGGTCAAAGGTCAGGGAGCAGAGCAGAGCCAAATCGCCAGGTTCGTGCCGGTTAAGTAATAGCAAAGTCAAATATAAGCTGTCACAAGGATACGCTTTCTTCCCTGCACAGCCAGACAGAAGGGAGGGGAGGGTGAGACAAAAAGAGGTGGACAGAAAGAGCACGAGTGAACCCAATGAAAACAAAACAGCAACAGGAGCCATGGTCAGTTAAAGGTATATTAAACAAAAGGAAAGACAGTCCCACTCTTTGGGGGTACACTAATTTGTATGAAGCTCCGAGTTTTGGATATTTTGGGGCCTTCACCAAAGTGACAAACTCCTCACATCACCTACTGCAGAACATACCTTGGAACTGGAAGTCGTTAGACTTTTGGCTCCTTAGATGCCCAAACCCTTGGATTCTGGGGCACCTAACAAGGCACTCAATACGCTTGAGTAATTGAAGAAAATATGTTGATGGCTTATGGCTAACAGCTTTCGTTTCCATTCGCTTGGCCAAAATAACAACGCCAACTGTATTTGGTATTTGCCTTGGCATTGCTTTCCCTTTGTCCCCATACCTTGTCCCACCGACACGCACACAATCTTGTCCATAAGATTAAATATTTACTTGGGAATGGCTTCTGCACACCTTTCATTCTCGACCACTTTTTCTGCCCCCTGCCTATCGCTCTCTCTCACCCTCCTCTGTAAATAAGTGGACAGCCGAATAAATAAGCAAACACACACACACAAACGCAGGGCCGAAAGCAAATATATAAATTTATTATTATAGTTGTGTGCCTGTGCGGGAGTGTGCCTTAAATATGAGCATAAAGTCCGAACAATATGCGTGCATGAACAGGTTCAAAACAAAACAAAAAATGAAGGGGAAAATGAAAGAAAAGTGTATTCGAAATAAATCGAAACAAATGCAACGAAAGAAAATATTTGTTAAGTTTTCCTGCTACATTTCCCAGAAACGCAGTGCATGATTAATGTATCTGTGTCGCCGTAATATTGCCCTTCCTTTGAGGTGAAAAAATTGCAAAAGTCTTCAGACTGCACTCGCCATGGTTCGCCATTGTTGTCAGTCTCTGTAAATTAAGCTTTACATTTTGTAGCTTTGTTGGCTTCTGCTTTGGTTTTTCGTTGCTCTCGGCTTTACTTTCCCGTTGCTTCTGCATCATTTCGCCCCGAACCATTCTCACAAACATTCAAAAAGAGAACTTTCCGAACCGAAATGGAATATGGTCGCAGCTAGTATTTGTTGGCATTCCTTTCACAGCATTACAAAGGCAGTAACAAAAGGCCAGGGCCAGCAAACACACACTAGCCCCATATGCTCCTTATTTCGCTTTTGTCATGGACAATTTGCCAATGGCCATTGAATTTAATGTCCAGTCCTAAGCCCTACCATTGTTGGCAAGTGCATTTTTTACTTGTTGTCGAATTTGAATGTCTTCCTGTTGTAGTACCCCGGGACCAGAGCACATCCATTACACGCGCTTATAACAATATGTTCCGCAATGTATTATGCTATCACAGTCGTTAAATTCATTTGGTCCAGGCTCCAGCAGGCCATTAATTGAAAATGGGCTTATTCTTCCTCACATATCTACTAGAGTATTTACCTTTGCTCGGCAACTTGGTGATGGACAGCGTACTAAACGGGAGAGATAATTACATACTTAATTGATCACTTTTTGGCACTATTTTGTGTGTTCTGATGAAATATACTTTCAATAACGATATTCTATAAGTATGTTTCGATACTGCACTATCGATACGAAAACGATGTTTTCACTTCTTAGTATCCCAGACTCTGTAATATTTCGGACTAAGTAAATCTGCGGTTCACAGTTAGTAGATCAAATAATACATACTTTTCGAAGCCAAGTTACGATCATTCTCCCACACTTAAATAAATTATGATCGTGTCGTGGCAATACTATCGGCTGCTCGTTATGTCCATCCTTAATTTTTATTGCTGGTTTTTGGCGCCAGATGTGGCCGTAGACACAATTTATAACACATAAACTTAATTTTAGCACTTTACGCTTCTGCACATAATGTAGCCCGGCCGTTGTGCCACTTCCGACTTGCCCGCACCTATGCCCGGCTCAAATTACAGGTGATTATATGAATTTTAGTGCCTAGGATAGGCAAGCCCCGAACCCCGACCGGCACCACCTCAAATATGTAACATCCGACAAATTGGCTCTCGAGTAGTCAGCCCTTTCTGCAGGCACGGGGCTAGGCACTCTACTGCTCTACTGTGTGGCGCTGCCTGATAAGCAGAAATAGGCTTCGTTTGGAGTTGGGGATTGTGGGAGGTTGGACCGGAATGGCCAACAAGCTTAACGAAAGCAAATATTTACACACTGATTTTATTCATTTACAAAATTTATAACCTCAGCTGGTGGCGGTAAAAGTGCCATGAAAATTGACGAGCCAGCTGCGAGCCCGAACCCGAGCCTGGGAGGGAGCGGGCCGCAGAGCCCTACTAAATAAATTTATGAATGCAATCCGAATGATTGGTACGCGCGTGTGGCCAGCGCTGATTTAAAATGCTAATTTGGCGTATGAAATTTAGACTTTGGTCGTCCCAAAGCGGATCTGTGAGAGATATTTTAAATGTTGAATTCCCTTGCAGGCGGCACCACCCAGCACATCGGGCAACCAGATAGCCACCGTCTCCCACCTGGTGGCCCTGGCCAAGCAGCAGGGCCAGGCGGCAACAAAGTCGCTGGAAACCAATGGCGCTGTAGAGATTGGCAGCGGGGAGCAGGAGGCAGCAGCCACAACCGCAACATCAGCAACGCCGTCGGTGGCCACGGGCACAGCATCAGCAGCAGCAGCAGCGGCAGCAGCATCATCCACAGCAGATGGGGAGGAGAGCGAACAGGGCAAGGCGAATGGCTCGGGGGCTGCCGTGGAGGTGCTCGAGGATCCTCAACTGCAACAGCAGCTGGAACAAGTGCAGCAACTGCAAAAAAATAACAAATCCGGTGGCGGTGGGGCCAGCACTTCGAATGCCACAACGATTACATCAATATCGGCACTGTCCCCACAGACGCCCACTACGCCCATAGGGGGTGGCGGCCCTGTGGCACCGCATGCTGCCGGTCCGATGACGGCCAAAACCAGTACGCTGACAAGCTGCAACCAGGAACATCCGCTGTGCGCATCTACCAGCTCCATGCCCGTGACGCCCGAGCCGCGATCCAAGCAGCTCCCTGGCTCGGCACCCCATCCGGCAGCGGCCCAACAGCAGCTGTCGAGCATTTCCAATCCCATGCAGAAGGTGAACAAGCGCAAGGAGACGCTGGAGGCGAAGCGCGAACGGAAGGCGGCCAAAACATTGGCCATCATCACGGGCGCATTCGTGGTCTGCTGGCTGCCCTTCTTCGTGATGGCCCTGACGATGCCGCTGTGCGATGCATGCCAGATAAGCGACAGCGTGGCCTCGCTCTTCCTCTGGCTGGGCTACTTCAACTCCACCCTGAATCCGGTAAATAGTACAAATAGGTTAAGTCATTGCAAAATATTTTAATTGTAATTAAGTCGTGGATGAGAAAGAAGGGCGGAGGTGGAGCTTAACGTCCGCATTTTACGTATTCCCATTCCTTGTTGTCCAAGGGGCACACATGACGTTCCCGTAGCCAGCGCCCGATGCAGTGTTGGTGGTAGATATGCTGGCATACACCCGTAGCAATGGTGCAGTCCTCGATGTTGATCTCATCCTCACTCGCCTGGCATTCGATGCAAACGTCATTCATTTGGTTGCGGCAAATGGCGCAAAGATCGACGGCAATGTCCCATGCCCATATTGCAGTGGCTCTCCACTTCTTCACTTGAAAATGTGGCACTTTAGTGACGCCGTTGGAGCTGTCCGATGGCGGCTCCTTATCACCCTCCATGTTATTATCGTCTGATATTTTTATTCGTAAATTTTTAAGTTATTTGCAGCTATGTGCTCCTGTCAGAGTCTCGAATGAAAAAGAGGCATGGACTTACCGGAAACCGAGTTGCTTAGTTTTGACAGTTGAAGCCAAGATAACGTCTCATTAAAAACGTCAGAAAAAATACTGAAAGAACTAGTTCTTTAAAATCAACGAAATATGTAGTTCAAATTTAAATCTGATCAGACATTAATTTCATTTTTAAATTGTTAGCGTTGATTATTACACACTACACATAAATAGTTATTTTGATAATTTTGATTAATACTCACTTGATTATTCACACACCTTTCAGGTTATCTACACCATCTTCAGCCCGGAGTTCCGGCAAGCCTTCAAGCGGATTCTATTCGGCGGACACCGGCCAGTCCACTATCGCAGTGGGAAGCTTTAGATAGTGCATGCGAAGAGGCGAAGGTGAGTTCCTCTTCTCTTTCACTTATATGAGTATTGCTGCTGCTGCGATTACATTATTGCGTTTGACCCTACGAGCTGATCCGAGGCACACAAATTGCATTCGCTTTTATGTGTTTCCAATTTGTGTCTGCGGTTTTTATTTTCAATCCACCGTATACTGATATTGATATTGCTCCTATTGAGTGGAGTGTTTATTAGAATTGAAGGTCATGGATGTTGGCTGCTGCTCATCTCGTTGGGGCGCCTTTGGCGCTTTTGGCGTTCAATTTTTACTGGCATGACGGCGACAACGAGCCGCTTTCGCATTTGGCAAGCAGACAAACACCATTCTGCTGCCATGGATTGCGAAAGAAGAGGGCTTGAAACAATTTATAAACTTTGGGGATGGAGCAAAAGTTTCAGCAGGCAGGCAGCCCGTTCTGCAACGAACGGGCGGGCCGGGCTGGCTGGCCAGTCAACTGTGGCTAAAATGAAAGTTTTATCAAACCTTTATCGGCGCTGTCATCTGCATGCGACGATTTGGATTTGGTCAATGCAGCCACCGGATCCGGATGGTCTAGCACAAGCAACTCCAGACGCCAGCGGCCATTAGAATTATGCCACAATGCGAATTACATTTGCATGTGCCCAGAGCCCCACAGTCACTCCCGCTGCCCACTGCCATATACTGGTAGGAGATGGATGGATACTTATCTGCAAAGACGCAAGGGGGCGCACAAGTTATCCGAGCAACAGCTTTGAATAGTTCCATTTGCATTGCATTGGGGAAAGATGGGGAGGCCCAGAACTGGAGCAAATGCCGAGCCCATCCCAGCCCAGCCCAGTCGACCCATCTGCAGTTGGCAGCAGCTAAATCCCAGCCTTTCATTCATTCATTTCCAAAGGCAACATGAAAGTTAAATTAAGTAACATTAATTTCCAAAATTTCTGCTAAGTTTGGCGCCTGTGCATTTGAATGAACTTTTCCCTGAATAATCGGATATAAAAGTTTTCCCCCCACACCCAACCCACACACTTTGCTAATGAATCTTGTAAATTGGACTCTTTTTTCCAGACGCTTCTGCTAAGCCGGTAAGTGGATGCAGGTCTTTCCTCTTCGGCGGTACACAACAGATTCGAAGCAGAGCGAAGCAGAACAAAAAACGAAGTATACTAAATGATGACTTACGATGGTGCCCCCAACCCCAACCCCTAGAACGTACGAGTGTAAATATTTCAGCTAAATGTGGTTAAAATTAATATTAATGTTAACGTTTACGTTACGTTTACCTATGCAAATACGAGTACTATACTCGTATTATAGTTAATTCGATGTTAGATCTAGCTAAATTTGTAAATGCCAAGAGGAGACTGTTTTTGGAAGCAAACTAAAGCGTTGAATTGATTGAAATGCCACCAAGAAATACAAAAATCTATATATACATATATGTATAATCAAAATAATTAGTTTTAAGCGGCTAACCCCTTTCCCATCAACGAGTAAATATACATACATACATACACATACTTAAAGCTCTCTAATTCCTAAACTTTTATGTGTGTTTTTGAACTTGATGTGAATTGTATACATATGTGTGTATGTAACTTAGATGTAACTCTATAGATGATAGCGTTCGTTCCCTCTCTCCCTCGCTCTCTATTCTGCTTCGAGGGAATGGGACGTGTGTTCCCCGTGAGCCAAGACATTGGAATCGTTATAACTGAAGCGAATACTCGATTATGTATGTATTGTATATTATTATAGCTATGTAGCGCCGCCATCTAGAGACATTCAATGTGTGCAATGATCTGCGCAATCGGCTATGCATGTTAGGCCTAAGAAAATTTGTTGATAATCTCACTATACGAGTACATACTGTAATATTCGATAGATTCTATTGTAAAGTGAATTAATCGCATTGTCGAAACCCCAAAACCAGTTTAAATGAAATTTAAACGTATTGTTAAAGCCACACATAGGTAAAAAAAAAAACAAAACAAAAACATATTGTATGTACATTTAAAATTGTTGCATTATTACTAATAGTAAGTACTAATACGAGTTGGTTATTATGGGCAAGGATTTCTTTGAATATGATGGCATATTGTTAGCAGTAAACAGTTTGCTCGCCTATCGCAGGCTGCAAGAACTTGTAATATTTGAAGAGCAAACTACTTTCGGGAAAAATGGGTAAAACATAATTAGCAAAACCAAAACAGACACGCAACCAATACATAGTGCGGCATATTGTAGTTAAGATTAAGCGAATATCAAAATATTTTACGAAACTACTCGAAACCGAAATCAAAACTCTACAAAATCTTTAAGCAGAAACCATTTCTTAGCCCCTAAGTGTTTACAGATACATACATACATACATACACACACACTGTATATCTATGAATAACAATAGAAGTTAAAATCAAGTCCGACTTGTCCCATGCCAAAGAATAGTTCTGAACAACACCCCACACCACTTATCAATCAAAATCTGCCAAAGGCACTTCTTGTTTCATTTCGATTATGTTTACTTCAATCGTTATATTCAGTTCAAACATTGGCGCGCATTTAGGAAAGAACTATTGCTTGGCATGAGAGACAACTGGAGACTTGGAGCCACTCATCAAACTAACGAAATTACTATAAACTACATTGGCTGCAAATTAAATTAAATAAAGATTTAAATTTCATTCAAAACGATAGTTGCTACTACCAGCTTTTATTTCTAATTCATATCACAAAAAAAATGTAATGCTTATTGGGCCCACATCGTCTAGAAGCGCTGTTTTGCTGCGAAATCTATTTACGATGTTCTCGCCACAAACAGTGACAGGTAGTGATTCGATTTAAATTCCAATAGACTAACGCCATCAGATCAAATTATTTACATTGTACTTCCCCTCGCTGCATATTTCGGATTCAAGCTCAAGTTATGCCAGAACGAAAACGAAACAAATTATTTAAGTATCGCTCGTCATCAGCACTTCACTCATCTGCTGTGGCATTGGATTTAATTTGGCACTTATATCGGTCAACGACCCAATTCATTAACGATTACGTGAGGTAAGCCCATCGTCATAGCCACTATCTGATAGCACAAACTCGTACATATGTACTAACCCAAATAATATCGAGATGGCCTGACAGACTGCTCAGCAGGGCTTGATGATGATGCCTGCCTGCCTGCTCTTTAGTTAACTTGAGTGGTCCAAGATAAACTGCTGCCAGAGAATGCGGCGGTTATCAACGTGGAAGTAGAGTAGAGTAGCAGTCCCAGTGCGTTGCAACACCAATGGGCCATGCCCAAGTGCTAGCCACTTCGATTAGAGGGAGCCATATCAGCAAGAGCAACAGCAACAGAAATAGCACGAGCAATAGCACTGCCTTTGCCTTAGTCACCTGTATAAATACCAACGGCATTGTCACGGCCTGTTCACACGGCCATGGCATCTACCCAACTACGGTCGTCAGTCTCCTCTATGCTCGGGCAGTGGCTGCTCCTCGCAGCACTGGGCGGCATCTGCGGCCTCTGCCCTGTGGGCGCCTACAGTTCGGGGCAACTGCTCGACTGGATGCAGCAGAGCAATTTTGGCTATCAAGTCCTCCATCAGGCCATCGTTGAAAATCAAACAAGCGCCTCCGAGGTAGCCTGCCTGGCGGAAGTGCGTCTCCTGCTATTGGCGGCAGAGGCCAAAGCTCTGCCTGCACTGCGTGGTAAGATGTGCTGCTAATCCCTCCGCAAGGTTAATTGCACTTCGCTACTTCTGTCTTTAATTTCACATTTTGGCAGTCCTCGATGCTTGGGGCAAGTTTCCGCACGGCCTGCTGTATGGCCACTTTACGGACATGGGCAACTATGAGTCCTGCCTGAACAGCGGCGGCCCCATCGGCAGCAGAAGCACCACCAAGTACTGCCTGACGAGCATTCAGTTTGAGAGTCTGCTGCTGGAGTCGATGGGGTCGAATGCGCTCACATTGCGTATTGGCACCTGCATCCCATCCGCCTGCAGCGCTGCCCAGCTCAACCGCTGGATCAACGACTACCTCCAGAAAATGTTCGGCCAAGACCCAGACCCGGGGTCCCCAGATACGGGCGTCACACTGGTTCAGGAAAATAACTGTGCTGTAGATCAGCGCGAGCGTATGACCGGATTGGACTGGTTCGCTGTGTAAGTACAGATCGGGCACAGCACGGCGTAACATTACGTCATGGATAAAAGGGAAAGCAGAGTTGAGTTACAGATATCGGATGAGATGAGAGTCAGGGCAGGGCAGGGCAGAGCGGAGCACACCAGTTAATGAGTTGCTTGAAGGTGAGATCGGGAGAGAGGTCGTTGACTCTCGCCGAACTTTACTTAATTAAATATTTGTTTGCAAACTTATTGCACAACAATCTTTTGATCAACAGGTTGAGAGTGAAGTATACGTATACAAGCTTGAAGTAAATAACAATGACAGTATCGACGAATACTCGTGGCTTCGTAGCTTGTGAAACAGGTTTCAAAACCCTCAAGTAAAAGCGCGTTAATAGCATTTATGCCTGACCTAATTTTCATGACTGTCACTTTCTGTTTCTAATCATAATTCGAATTTTGCATTCTAATTTTTCAGTGCCGTTCTTGTCGTCTTGGCCATTCTGGTTTTCCTGGCCACCCTGCTAGACCGTGCCAAAGGTAGGTCAAACCTGAGGCTCGTAGAACCTAAATAATACTTAGCTGGAAATTATTTCATTTGAACAGCTTCCAACAAACTGCTGAGCTCCTTCTCGCTGCGCCAGAACCTGCCCCAGCTGTGGAAGATCTCAGACACGGTATCGCAGCAGCATGTGATGCCGTGCCTTAATGGCATTCGCTGCCTGACAATAATCTGGATTATCTTCGGCCATGGCTACATGTTCCTGCTGCTGGCGCCCAGTGTGAATGCCTACGAGATCATAGCATGGGCCCAGACGCCCTTCTCCATGGTGCTGCAGAGCGGCACCATCTCGGTGGACACGTTCTTCCTGCTCAGTGGCCTGCTTCTGGTGATGAGCGCCCTGCGAGAGATGGAGAGGTGTGTTTCTTGCTCGTGCTGGTGCCCATATAGCCACTTAATTTATATTCTGTGATGGACTTTCAGAAACTCGGGACGCCTTCACGTTCCGCTTATGTACCTGCACCGTGTGGTGCGTCTGACCCCCGTGCTGGCCCTGGCCGTTCTCATCTTCATGACGCTCTTCCCACGCCTGGATAGCGGACCCCTCTGGCAACAGTTCACCGCCTCCTCGCAGCTCTGCAGTGACACCTGGTGGGCCACTTTGCTCTATGTGCAGAACTATGCGGCCCCTGGACGGATGGTAGCGTAGCTAGCACGTTCCCTCCCCCACGTTTCTCCCCTTGACAATCTCGTCCCATTGCAGTGCCTTGGCCACTCCTGGTATTTAGCAGTCGATATGCAGCTGTACATACTTTCGCCCCTCCTCCTGATCGCACTCTACAAGTGGGGTAGAAAGGCTGCCGGCGCTATCATTCTGCTCATCCTTCTGCTATTCGCCTGTGTCTTCAGCATCATCATGCTGAACCAGCTGCAGGTCTTCAGCCGTAACGGGTGAGTCTCGCTGGGATGTGGGGCGGCAAGTGGCCGAGGTCTAAGCTATCTTTCTCTCTGGCCACAGCAACCTGGGCGAGGACAGCCCACAGATGCGGCTCATCTACTATACCACACACGCCCGAGCCATGCCCTGGCTGATCGGTCTGCTCTTCGGCTACTATCTGCACAGCGAGGGCAGTCGCCGGCGACGCCTCTCCAAGTGGCTGGCATTGGTGCTATGGATAGTTGCCCTCAGTCTGTTTGCCACTGTCATCTTTGCAGTCTATCCGTACACGCAGTCCGGAGCCAAGGGGATCTCACCGCTGGCTGGCGCCTTCTTTCTGTGCTGCGGCCGAATCGCCTGGCCCCTGAGTCTGTGCTGGCTTATATGGGCCTGCCAGAACGGGCTCGCGCCCGTAGTTAACAGCCTGCTCAGCTGGTCCCTCTGGCAGCCGCTTTCCAGGCTCTCCTACTGCCTGTACATCTGGCACCTGATGGTGGAGACAGCGAACGTGGCACGCAGCAAGTCCAGTCTGCATTTTTCCAACTACGACGCAGTAAGTCGCCGGATAATATGCTTTTGCTTAATAATTTCTCCCTGTATTCGCCCTGTGCAGATCCTACGCTTCTGGTCGGACTTTGGCATAACGTTGTGCGTCTCCACACTGATGTATCTGTTCGTTGAGGCACCGGTGGCTCGACTCGAGGCACAACTGCTGAGACTGAGACGAAGTCCGAGGCATGCGACGAGATCCCCGACCACCGGTGTGGATGCTTCACCCTCGCCAGATACTGCACCAGCCACAAGCATTTCACGGCAGAACCTAGTCGTTCCCTGAGAGAGCGCAAACTGCACACCTGAACACCTATGCGTGTTGCTTTTAGTTAATTTCAAGTTCCTGTTTAAATTATAAGTTAAAATAAATTAGTATTGCATTTAAAAGAATTTCCATTCAGTTCCAGGCACGTAGCCATTAAGAGCAAATTACTATAAGGCTAAAGTAAACCACTTGTAGTCGGCTTCTATCGCCTTCCGATAAGGTTACGTATGTACGTATGTATATTACTACCCGCTGTCGACGCCGCTATCGGTTATTGAAACTCTATTTGTGAAAACTAAAACAAACAAACAAAAATGAGCCAAATTGCCGTGCGAGTGAGATGTTAACACTTCGGATGGGTCGGGGAATCGAACCACAGTGCGCTACATATGCACGCACGCACAGAAAGTCATACGCAAATTTAAAATGAATAATAATTCGAATTTCCTTCAAGTGATGTTCACAACTTTCAGTTTATATTTCAGTTTGATCAGGCTATAAAATTAATAGATATTTTGCGCATCACATTGCAGTTGATTTTCGATTTAGTTTGGTGCAGCTTGAACAATTTGTCTTCGCCATTGGCACTCCACGCCATCGGGACACCGTCCACTAAATCCTCTTTTATAAATGTATTTCCATCTAGATACAGGTTGAGGGTTGTGGCACGATGCTGGGCGATTCGCGGAGCTGAGAATGTGTAGCACTGTAACGGAAAGGTGCATCTCTCAAATGCAATGACCTCCACGTGCTTGCAGAGCTGAAGGAAGTGTTCAAGGGCGTCAGCATCTACTATATTGCAGGAATAAAAGAGCAAGCGCTTGATATGCTGAAAGGGATGCGAAATTTTACATCTAGCTGGATTCAAAAATTGACTGTATTTCAATACGAAAGTTTCAATATCCAACTGAAGGCGTTCGGCATCAAAATATAAATCGCAATTGTCGTGTACTTCCAGTTGCTTCAAGCTATGGCGACCTACGGCCTTAAACTTTTCGCAGAGTTCCAACAGCGTACTGGGATAGTTATTTCCAAGGATTGTCAGTTGTTTTAGCTGTTTCAGATGCTGCAAATTCTTCATAAACCATACACCAAATTCGTCCTCGTCACATATCAGAACCTCTAGACTTTGCATACCAACTGGTGGTAGTTGTATTTTGAGCAAATCATCGTCACAGGCAAATAGCTCGAGATTGAGGCTTTTCAATTGTTTTGTTTGCATTATATGGACTAGGTTTCTGACCTCGAATCCGCCGCAATAGGTTATTCTCAGGTTCTCCAGGTGCGGAATGTCAGAAAAATATTTTCCTGTAAAATGTCCAACGGGACTGAATGTCCTCAACTGTGGAAAAGCTTTAATTATCATCAGAATGTCCGCATCTTTCAAGTGGAATGATTCTGTTAGGAAGCGAAAATCGTGTGCACTGGGAAAAACGTAGCTGGTAAGTATGTCAAAGTTTTCCCGGCTGATCATGTTGAACCGTAAAACTTGCACTGTCGTGCGGATTATGCACAGGTAGTGACGGAGATCTGCGCTGGATATGTCCGATTTGGAACAGTGATATGCAAACTTTGGATCCCCAAACCAAAGGCATTAGTGCGTAGAAACGAGAATGCACTCTAGCGATGTTAAACTGAGATTTCAAGTCCAAGAGACTAAAGATCGAAATCAGATCACAGTCGGGAAGAGATTCCATTTTACGCTGAAAATATACGAAAAAGCAAATTATAATTAATAAGTATCGCTTGCCATATGAAACTCACATATTCCGTAGAAACTAATTTGCAAACTGTACACTTAGTTGGTAGAGGCTTTTAATTGCCATTTAAAATATGGCTATTTGAATTCAAATTTGAATTTGAACAATGTTAACAGCTAACAGCCAAAAGGTGCTGTAAGGCGCACACAATAGTGCTGTTAGGTGCACGGGAGCGTGCTGTTAAGCGCCGAACACCAGAGTGGCAACCCCAACATCTGTTTCATTGATACCAAAAACAAAAAAAATTGCAGATATCCTTTTCGTTTTGCAAATTGTTTTCCCAGTTAAACGGCTTTAAGAAATAATCACTCGCACAAGATGCAGAAGTACGACAAGATGGAGAAGATCGGTGAGGGCACCTACGGCACCGTCTTTAAGGGGCGCAACCGCGACACAATGGAGATAGTGGCCCTGAAACGAGTCCGTTTGGACGAGGACGATGAGGGTGTGCCGAGCTCTGCCCTGAGGGAGATCTGCTTGCTGAAGGTATGTTCTGTTCTGTGGCCTTGCGGGACTGAAAACTGTTAAAAAAAGTTATATGCACCCCAGGAACTGAAGCACAAGAACATCGTCAGACTGATAGATGTCCTCCACTCGGATAAGAAGCTGACCCTGGTATTCGAGCACTGCGACCAGGATCTGAAGAAGTACTTTGATAGCCTGAACGGAGAAATCGATATGGCTGTGTGTCGCAGCTTTATGCTCCAGTTGTTGCGCGGCCTGGCCTTTTGTCACAGGTGGGTGGTGGTGGGCAGGCGGCAGTCCTCTCGCTATTACTTCTAATTCCTCGTTATTTTAGCCACAACGTTCTGCATCGTGATCTGAAGCCACAGAATCTGCTGATCAATAAGAATGGCGAGCTGAAACTGGCTGATTTTGGCCTGGCCCGCGCCTTCGGCATCCCGGTGAAGTGCTACTCGGCCGAGGTGGTCACGCTGTGGTATCGTCCACCTGACGTTCTATTCGGGGCCAAGCTTTACACGACGAGCATCGACATGTGGTCGGCTGGCTGCATTCTGGCGGAGCTGGCCGATGCCGGGCGTCCGCTGTTCCCTGGTTCCGATGTGCTCGATCAGCTAATGAAGATATTCCGTGTGCTCGGCACACCCAACGAAGACTCTTGGCCCGGAGTGTCACATCTCTCCGACTACGTTGCGCTTCCATGTGAGTATTCCGTCTGGCTTCCATCACATTTTGCATTAACCGACGTTTGTCCCGCCTGCAGCCTTCCCAGCCATAACTTCGTGGAGCCAACTGGTGCCGAGACTCAATTCTAAGGGTCGCGATCTGCTGCAGAAGCTGCTCGTCTGCCGTCCCAATCAGCGGATCAGTGCCGAGGCTGCCATGCAGCATCCGTACTTCACGGACAGCACCTCGTCTGGCCATTGAGGAGACAACCACTCTCTCCATGCGACTGTTTCAACGTACTTTGATTAGCACTTAAGCCAGACTCTTCTCTTGTACTAGTACTAGTTATAAATATGCATAATATCCTCAGTTCATGTTTATGTGCTCCGTACCAACTTTATGTCCCCAGATGCAATCAGTTTAAATAATTTACACGTTAAGTATTTTAAGATCCCAATTATAATGTCTCTATTGTCTCTAGTTTATTTAAAGTTTAATAGCGTAATAAAAACACTTACTCAGTGATGAAATAGCACCCAAAACACCTTATAAAAACAAACTTCTTAACAATTTTTTTTGGATAATAATGGAACTATATTATTATATTCAATGTATATTTACGGTATATTTTGATAATGACATGGTATATTTCGGTATATTTTTGAGGATCAGGCGGTATATTTTATCAATAATTCTGCGGTCACACTGGTTTTCCCACATATTTGAAAATATAAATATATTTGAAGGAGGACATTGATAAACATTGAAAAAACCTGTAGACGGTGCACTAAAAGAGCTACGAGAGAACACTTACAATTGATAATAATTGTCTGGAAATAGAAGCTGCCACTATAAACAGCCCTGTCCCTCCGACTACGGACTCTGTTTGCTAGAGCTTTATAAAATGACCTGGGGATTTGTGACCTGTGGACCCAACGAGGCTTTGGTTGTGTCGGGTAAATAAAAATATTTAATTATTTCAATAAAAGCAATCAGTGTACAATCAAAATGCCAAATTGGGACTGATTAGAGTCTTCAAAATAAAAATAAGTCACCACCCCACCCTCTGCATGACGTCATTGCTTATTGATTTTTATGTACAACTACTTGTGATGCAAAGAAGAAGAAGAGCACTCAGACGACCTGCGCGCGCATTGGGAAACGGCGTTGCCGATGATCTAATTGTTTTTGTTTGTAAACAACCTTTGATAATCTTTTTATCTTTTGCAGGATGCTGCTACATGAAGCCGCTGCTGGTGCCCGGCGGACGTGCCTTTGTCTGGCCCTCCATCCAGCAGGTGCAGAGGTAAGTAAATTGTTAAATATACAAATTAAAATCTCGATTCGAGTGTGAAGAACCCTCCAACCATTCCAGAATCTCACTCAACACGATGACGCTCCAGGTGGAGAGTCCCTGCGTGTACACTAGCCAGGGTGTGCCCATTTCGGTGACGGGCATTGCCCAGGTGAAGGTGCAGGGCCAAAACGAGGACATGCTGCTGACTGCCTGTGAGCAATTTCTAGGCAAGACGGAGTCGGAGATCAACCACATTGCACTGGTCACATTGGAGGGACATCAGCGGGCCATCATGGGCTCCATGACGGTGGAGGAGATCTACAAGGACCGCAAGAAGTTCAGCAAGCAGGTGTTCGAGGTAGCCTCCAGCGATTTGGCCAATATGGGCATCACCGTCGTCTCCTACACCATCAAAGATCTGCGCGACGAAGAGGTGCGGTCCTAGCGTTACACAATCCCCTAGCTAAATTCCACTTTATCCTTTGTTAAACTAACCAAACCATTAGCGTAGACCGATTCACGTCACTTCATTTGTTTCCCGATTAACCTTTTGTATATACCGTATATTTCTTGCATGTCCATTTGGATTTACGTTCACTGCAGGGCGACTCAAAGGTGCGTATGGCCGGCTGTGTAGACTATTTCTGCTCCCTACTTCCGGACGTCATCTTCTGTCTCTTTTTGTAGCAGTTTGAGAAATGATTTTACCATTGTGTACCCTCTTATTCCTTTTCAGGGCTATTTGCGCTCCTTGGGCATGGCCCGTACGGCCGAAGTTAAGCGAGATGCTCGAATTGGCGAGGCAGAAGCTCGGGCCGAGGCTCACATCAAGGAGGCCATTGCTGAGGAGCAGCGCATGGCTGCTCGCTTCCTGAACGACACAGACATTGCCAAAGCCCAGCGCGACTTTGAGCTGAAAAAGGCCGCCTACGACGTGGAGGTGCAGACTAAGAAGGCCGAAGCCGAGATGGCATACGAGCTGCAGGCAGCCAAGACCAAGCAGCGCATCAAGGAGGAGCAGATGCAGGTCAAGGTGATCGAGCGTACCCAGGAGATTGCTGTGCAGGAGCAGGAGATTCTGCGTCGCGAGAGGGAGCTGGAGGCCACCATTCGCCGACCGGCCGAGGCCGAGAAGTTCCGCATGGAGAAGTTGGCTGAAGCCAACAAGCAGCGTGTCGTGATGGAAGCCGAAGCCGAGGCAGAATCGGTAATGTTAAACTATAATCTGCAATGCGGTCAACCCGAGTATACAAAACTTATTTTATCCTTTATCTCTAGATAAAAATCCGTGGGGAGGCAGAGGCATTCGCCATTGCAGCCAAAGCAAAGGCCGAGGCCGAGCAGATGGCTCAAAAGGCCGAGGCCTACCGCGAATACCGCGAGGCTGCCATGGTGGAGATGCTCTTGGACACACTGCCAAAGGTGAAGACTGCTTTTTAGATGAGGAATTTCTAGAGACAATTTAATAATCAATATCAATTCCCAACAGGTGGCCGCCGAGGTGGCTGCCCCGCTCTCGCAGGCCAAGAAGATCACGATGATTTCAAGCGGCCAGGGCGACATCGGTGCCGCTAAGCTGACCGGCGAGATCTTGCAGATTATTAACACAGTGCCAGAGCTGGTTAAGAGCATGACCGGCGTGGACATATCCAGGGTACGTTCCAATTCTGAATTTATCTAAGGGCACCGGCAGCCAGCAGAAGCAGCATGAGATGAGCGGCATGGCGACAGCAGCGGCCGGGAGAAAACAACCTTATACAAATGGCAATCAAAAGACTTGGTAGAGAAAATGTAGCAAACGGATGGCAGCCAGGGGACAAGAACTATGTCGATGGGCTTCGAATTCGGTTTCCTGTTTGATTTTGTGTTGATTTTCGTTTAATTTCCACTTGTTTTCTCTTCATTTCAGTCCGTGCATGCTGGCTAAGTATCCAAAACAAAACTAAAAAGATATCCAAATTACACAATTCTGTACTCTCCAAACAATTACTGCAAACCATTAACAATCGAATACGATACGTCGACCCAATGATTGAATATATAAATGCATTTAACATTTGTTTATAAATTACATTTTTTACACATACACACGAACATATACATACACATACTTTCTGCGCCAAACCAAACTTTTTGCAAAATGTTTTTACACACACACACACACTCGCGGAGCAAAGGATATTTTGTATTCAATGTATGTGAATTTTATACAAGTGTATGGCACAAAGCGTGGAATAAAGATATTTCCGTATATACAAAACTCGACTTTTGAATAAAATTTAAATTTTTAATTGTGAACTGTTTTTGTACCTATCGAAATAGTGCCAGACCTATCGATTACGTATCGTTCATTCATATCGCTCATCTCTAAGCAACTTAGCAGTTTTTGACGAACTAGTTCGTGGGCTGCCAGCCCGGTATTATATGGCTTAAGACGATTTAGCGGCAGCAGCGACACGACAATATTATATATATTACCGTGAAATTACAAATAAATAACTAATGATAACAGTTTTATCAGATGAATATGATTTTCCTCGGTATATTTACGGTATATTTTGAAAACGACAAGGTATATTTCGGTATATTACTAAGGTTTTATTAACGTACTTTTCAAAATGACCGCTTCCTTTTTGCGGAGAATGTTTCTTATTCTATTTTTTTGGGGAATTTTTATTTTTAGGGCTACCAGATCGGTTCAAAGCGAATCGGTAATGAAACGGTTCGCAAAATGTCATAGTGGCAGACCGCAACCACTAACCATACAGTATATAGATGTGCCAGTTCATACAACGAACGTGTCGCAGCTGAGTTTTCAGCGTACGTTCCCAGGTCTTCGGCTCTGGGGGCGATCGCGTTCGGCTTTGGGATTGACCGCGTTCGGCTCATGATGTGACACAGCCGACGGATTGTGTAAAAGTGGATGTGTTAACGTGTAACTTTACCCCATAAAGTATATATGATTCATGATAGAATCAATAGCCAGCTGCCGAAACCGACTTTGTCTTGGCGTTTTAGTTTACGAATGTGTGTGTGCCATGTATTTTCACATACTGTGCTTGTGGGGTTCTAATTTGCGCTTAACCGAAATTTTTTTTCTCCTACTCAAAAAGAGTAGGGTATATGTATTTGCGGAAGTGGATGTGTGTTAACGTCCGACCCCATAGTATTATATTCATGATCGCATCAATGCCTCGTCTGTCTGTCCGTCTGTCTGTCATGAGCTCAAAAAAGTATATACTGACTGAGGAACGGGTATAAGTAGAGGCGTCCCCAAAAAGCGACCTTCTACGTTCCTTCTCGGTTCGATATAATTTCTCTCATTTTCTGCTTCCACTTTCCACCGCTCAAATGGCAGAAAACCGTTAGATTCAAATCTGACAAACCAGGCACAAAGAAATCAGCAGAAGGTCGCTGGTTTTTTTAATTTCTAGCTTTTTTCTTGCTTCTTTGTATTTTGGTACTCTCTTTTCGATCTAATTTCTCATTTTCTGCCAATTTCCACGCCAAAGGGCGAGGTCGCTGGTTTTTTAATTTCATTTCTCTTGTTTCTCTTTGTATGTTGCGTTTCGATATATTTCCACCTTTAGCTGAAAAAAACAAATACGGCAGGACTGGTTTACCTTCTCTTTTTCTGTGCTCCTGGTTTGTCATTTGAATTTAACGGTTTTCTGCCATTTGGCGGTGGGTGGGGGGGTGGGGTACAAGGAAACTGATATTAAAAAAACCAGCGACCTTCTGCTGATTTCTGTTCGCCTGGTATCTCAGATTTGAATCTAACGGTTTTCTGCCATTTGAGCGGTGGAAAGTGGAAGCAGAAAATGAGAGAAATTATATCGAACCGAGAAGGAACGTGTGAGTCGCTTCTGGGGACGCGACTCTACTTATACCCGTCCTCAGTCAGTATATACTTTTTTGAGCTCATCAAGACAGACAGACGGACAGACGGACAGACAGACATGGCTATATCGACTTGGCTATTGATGCTGATCATGAATATATATACTTTATGGGGTCGGAAACGTTTCCTTATCTACGTTACACACATCCACTTTTACCACAAATACAATATACCCCTTAACTCTTTTTGAGTACGGGAATAAAAAACAATTTCGGTTCAAGCGGCCGAAAATTGTAGAACCCACACAAGCACAGTATGTGAAAATACATGGCACACACACATATACGTAAACTGAAATCTCAAGCAAAGTCGGTTTCGGCAGCTAAAAATTATTCTATACATACAATCATATATTTTGGAGTGTTACACGTACACACATACATACTCGCTATCCGTCGGCTGGTGTCACATC